GGTTCAGCTCTCCTCTGACTGTCCAAATCCATCTTTCAGAACCTCCCTACTTATAACTCACCTTTTCTCTCCCCACTCCCTCCACCTTCTCCTTCAAGAAGCTTCCTTTCCCTGTTCCCTCCCAGTGGCTAAGCTCGCTTCTACAGTAACCCACCTACTATGCATGTTTAAATAATTGTGGTGAGACGAACATAACATAAAATTAACATTTTAAAGCGAGCAGTTCAGTGGCATTTAGTGCATTCACAATGTTGTGCTAACACTGCCTCTGTCTAGTTCCATACGTTTTCATTAAGCTAAAGGAAGCCCAGTGTTCGTTAGCAACCACTCTCCCTTCCCGCTTCTAGACCCTCTTAATTACTAGTCTGCTTTCTCTTTCTATGGATTTCCCTTTTCTGGACATTGCATATAAATGGAATCACAAAACATGGGCTTCTGTGTTTGGCTTCTTTCATTGAGCATGATGTTTTTAAGGTTCCTCCCCATCGTAGCATGTGTCAGAATTTCATTCCCTTTCCTGGCCGAATAGTATGCCGTTGCATGGATAGACCACCTACCTTTTTTCCGTTTGTCTGTTGATCGACAATTAGGTTGCTTTCACCTTTTGACTGCTACGACACCCACTGTCTTTCATGCAGACACTGCCCCCTGATTCAGTTTGGGTCCCAGGGCTGTGACTTCTGGTGTCTTTGAGTCCTAACCACAGGGTGGGCTCATTTATAATCCTTTTATAGATGAGTCTGCTGAAGCCAGAGGAGAGAGAGCTTGGAACCTCAGTTGGAGAGGGGAAGGGACCTTGGAACCCCACGTGTCCCAGCACTGGGCTTGGCTCTGCATACTTTATGTGGTTTAATTTCTGCCCAGAAGGAAATAGAGAGTGGAAAGGTCTAGTTTTATCTCCACTCTGAAGCAGCTCTTCTCATCTCTCCTTCCTGGGACTGGGGCAAGTTTATATAAGCCAGGGAACTCTGTGATCTCAGGTTGTGTCCTGTGAGCCAGCCTCAGTGTCCTCCTCTGTAAAGCGGGGATAATTCCTATTTTACAGAGTTGCTGTGAGGATTAAATGCAAGAGCCTGTGAA